TATATATACATCTAAAAATTTCGGTTGTTTTTTCCATAAAGAAAAGTTAAAATTTGAAAAAAATAGAGCTGCTAGGATCACTTCTGGCATATTATTGAAGCAAACGAATAACCAGGTTGTATTATCATTTTTAACCCGTGCCAGAAACTGTTTACATCTGGTAGCCGAAGTATATAGAATTTATATAATTTTTGTATATTAACATACAAAATGTATATATATACAAAATTTATACATTTTTTCGGCTATTATTTTTACAGCGGCTATATAGTGTCATTTTCTCATTGAAAATTGGCACAGAAGAGGATATTTTCAAGGCCAAAATATTAGAAGACATTATCCAAAAATGAAGGAAATTAAAGTGATAATTTGCGTTAAAGGAGAGGAAACGTTTTGCTTCAGAGCAGAAGATTTGCTTCATAAATCAGAGTTAGGTAACACCGTTATTTTTTGAACACATTGTGTCATTGAGACTAATGCAAGCCTATCAAACGACCCCTAAATGTGCTCCACTTTAGCATACTTAAGGGACTAAATAAGCTTAGGGTTATATTTGAGGGACCAAAATAGACTTACCTTCAAAGATAAGGGACAATATTGGCCAAAAACTCTAAAATTGAATCCAATTAAGAATAAAGTAAGATATAGGATTAGTGTTTCTTTGTGACTATGGGTGTGCCGATTTACAATTGATTCAACAGCCTTTTCGGCTACCTAAATTTTCACCTTATTGGTGAAAATTTGATTCCCGCCTATAATCCTCTCCCCATTTCAAAAAAGAGAAAAGCAAAAAGCAAAAAACCGTGACAACATCTGTTGCTGTCTTTGATTATATTTCCGCTATTCAAGAATCAAAAGAATTACTCTATAGTTTGCAAGAATAGAATCAAATGCCACAAATAAATATGTTTTCTTTTTAAATACAAAATGTGCATGAATACATACTAATAGTGTTCGAGTTAAAGGCACTAGGACACCAGCGTCCATTGCCGAAAAAAGTGGATCCGCTCCTGATCTAGAAGAGAAACAACTTATACATTCTCTAATTAATTAATTACGTCGAAACAAAGAAGAAGAAAACGAAGAAGAAGATACACACTGCATAGGGACGAATATAGAGAAGAATAGCACTAATACAATTAAGTCATTGCTTAGTTTGCCATATAGACCTGGCTCGAACAACCTCTGCTCGATCCTCTTCCATGCGAATCAGATGTGTGCATTCCATATCTGAACTAATTCCATCATTTTCACTAGCTGCTGTTGCTATTTCTCTCATTGTTGTCATAGATTGCAGCACATTTGACAAGCGACATTCCCGTCGATACTCTAATGTTAAGCTCATTAGGTTGTATTCTTCTAATACATTTATAGGCACACTCTGCAGACAACAATTGTTGTAGTTTCGTTCAATAACAGAGTAATAGAATTTTACATCAGTTTACTTATCCGTACAGGTAATCATTCATAACAAGTGATATCAGTACCACGAAATATAAATGAAGTAACCTACTACAACCAGTGGCCAAGTCAGGAATTTTTCCAAGGGTATTCATATACTTGAAAGAAGTAAAAAAATCTCCGACAAAAGGTGTTCAAAATATGTTTATACCTCTAAAACTTAATATTTTACCTATATACGCAGTGTAATTTTCCAATGAAGGGTGATCAATTCACCACCCTGCTGGCTACGACATGAAATATACTGATAGTGCAAAAGAAATGGACAGTGTATATAAGGTATATCCTACAGGATATTTGGATATACGTTTAAAACTGTAACAGCCTAGTGAAAGGATTTTACCTCCAATATCCATCCAATATATTTGACATTGTTCACATGTTGATTTGCATCCATGTCACTCCATCGTGGCTAAAATCAAAATCAGACATGACTTGTTAAGATTATGCAGCTAGTTATATCAAACATCTTTTTCTTTGGGGAATATGATTTTAATTTCTTACAGCTAAGCCAGAACTGATAATTTCGGCCGTTTCATCGTTGAGTTTCTCAATCTTTTCAGAATCAGTTTGTTCAGTAGGAATTGCGCATCTGTTGGTGTAGAAAGGTTGAACTTCTGCTTTGACCTGCTCAGGGATTTTTGATAACCTTCTTGTTTCTCTGTTCATTATCACCCATGTGCTGCAAAATACCACATATATAGTGTATCTTTTTTAATACTCATCATTTTAAAAAGAAAAAAAAAAAAAAAAGACAGCCCGGTGCATGAAGCATCCAACGTTCACGCAGCGCCCGGTAATGGCGGCAATCCAAGGGGTGTGATATAAACAGCCTACCATGATGCAAGTATTTTTGGCCGATTTTACGGCTCGAACCCGTAACTTATAGTTTGACAAGTATTTATATACCTGGTTGCTTTTGTGATGATGTTGCGAGTGTTGGAGTCACGAATGATCCAGTCCCTCCTCATTCCATTTTTACCTGCTGCATCTACCCATGTATCTATTTCTACCACATCTCCCCTGTGGTGAAAAATTGCTACCTTTATCTTATAATGAAAATATGAAGAATGGAAAGATTGAAAAAAGAGGAATACCAGGAGCTATATTGTTCAACTTGGATCTGTATGCGAGTGACCACCCATATGAGTTTCCTAAGACTCATTTCTCGGGTTGCCCCAAATCCATTACCACCCACCCCTGAGCTTGCCACATGATTTAGAGCTGTCTCCTGCAGTATATTGTGACATTTTCAACATGAATTCTTCCATGAGTATTTAGCCAAAATAAATTCAGCACCCAAAGGCCAAAGATGTGGTTTAAGTTTAATGAAATGGGCGAAAACCATAACAGATTTAGGGTAAGTGGCGAATCCAAGAATTTATATGAGGAGATTCAAAAAGACGCTACAATGTCACACTTAGGATTTGACCCGTGATCAAAAGCAATCTTCGAACCCTTTTGTCACTAAAATTATAACTTTTCCTTATATCAAGGGGATTCAATAATTAATATATAACAAAAAAACTCGTTTTTGCTCTGTTTACACAATGTAACTTTTCATCGAAGGGGGTTCAATTGAACATCCTTATTACTATCTAGCTCCGCTCCCGATTGGGGTTCACATTCCATTATAGAAGATATAATTAGGGGTTTCTTCCCACCACCCTGAACCTATGTGAAGTGACTTACCTGATTATGTTCTAGTAGGACGTAACATGCACCTAATGAAATAATAATCAAAGGTCGTACAAGTTGCCTCGACGCCACGATGAAAAAGAATTCAAAAAAATAAATAAATTTAAAAAGAAGATAGGACCAACCTGGAGGAGATTCATGATAGTTTCCATGGTAGCAGTCTTATCAGGTCCAATTTCATAAGACCTAATTACAAAGGATTGTCTATACACAAACCTATTATCCACAAAATTCCCTAGAAGATAGTATGAATTATTTGATGATTCTTCTGTTTTCTCAACTACTACATTATTATCATTGCCTCTTTGCCCTAAATATGGATACTCCTCAACATGCACACCATTTATTTTCTTCCCATTAATTGTGTGTTGATTCCTAGAACTGCTCTTACTCGCATTTGCCACCTTCAAAATCTTTCTCCCATTACCTTTGCTAGGATTTAAAAATCCAAATTTCAAATTCTGAATACCAGCCAACCCTTCATTCTCCTGCTCTATTTTTGACAAATTATTCGTATAATGCAAGCTAATACCTTTGATCATCAATGCCATTTTACGTTATTCTTCGTTCTAACGTTAGTCCTACAATATCATTCGTCTTCTAATAGAAACAATAAATAACACACATAAATTAATCTTGGGTAGGTAACCTAGGTATAACAACTTAGCTGGAAAGTATTAACATGAATGCGAAAGTGAGAGGTATTGAATAAAAGGAAAAGGAAAGAATGAGTTGTTTAATTAATTAAGGCTTGTTAATTATATGTAATTAAAGAGGGAGATATGTAGAGGAAAAGAAGGAAGGGGAAGGGGATTTTGCAGCTCAACCACCTGTTTTGAGTAGACAAGAAAAATTGGAGAGTTTAATTTCTCCATCACAAGCTTAGAGAAAAAGTAGTGGGTCTTCCCTTTGTGGTTTGCTTAAATTATGCTATCCCTTTGGATTTTCAAGTACAAGGATAATGGTTACAGAAGGAATCGTATCTTGTTTGGCCAAACTTCAAAAATTAGTTTAAGTTGAGAAGTATTTCTTCTCAAAGGTATTTTTGAATTTAGTGAGAAGCAGTTTGTGTTTGACTAATTAATTTGAAAAGTACTTCTGAGCAGCAATTAGTGTTTGGCCAAACTTTTAAATAGTATTTCTAAGTGTATTTTTCTCAAAGGTGATTTTAAAAAAAAAATGCAACTTTTTTCTGCTTCTCCAAAACTGATTCTTCTTCTACTCAAAAGCAATTTTTTTTTTTCAAAAGCTTGGCCAAAGACTTTAACTTTGGAAAAAAAACACTTTATTTGAACAATTTTTTTTTTTATTTTTTTTTATAAAAAAAGTGCTTTTGACTTTAAAGAAGCTCTGCCAAACAGACTAATAATTACATTAAAATTAAATAGCTATTATTCTAATTGGCCTAGAATTATCCCTTATCAATAAGTGTATTAGGCGAACTAGGAGTTTATTATTTGGACTAAACGATAAACATGATCTAATACTCTTCATTGGCTACATAAAAGGGAAACCTTGACTCAAATTTATGCCTCATTTCAAATTTTAAGAAAATGAGTCACTTTTTGTTACAAATTAAAAAGAAATAGGAGAGTGAAGGAACACGTTAAACTAAACACATCAGATTAGCGCGTAAATCGTAAAACGAGAATTTAAAACGGAAGACGGATGAACCACGACTGGAATCACTGGTCGGTGGTGGCTATCACGTTGTGACGGAGCAACTTCCAATATCATAGTCTAAACCCTAGTCTAACGTTAGGATAAGACTAGGCGTAGGAAAATACTGCGTATTCCGTATGTCTAGAAGTACACCATATGTGTACTTATATAGGGATAGCTAGGGTAACAATAATTACTAAAATTACTGGGCTTTACCCTAGTGGGCCCTAAGAGCAGGGTGGACTCTATTTCCTACATCTCCCACTCACACATAATGGGGGTGCTTATCTAGTCTGAGAAACATATTCTCCTCTCATCTCCTCAATCATTCATATAGGGAAGTGATCATGCGACCGGCATACTGTGAGAGCTAAACGCTATACATCTGTTAGGAGTATATTGCGCCTCTCGTCGAGTGCGAACCTGCAAGTAGATCATAAAGTATGTAGTACCCTAGATCATATGAATCATATTTGATATAATCATAAAATCTCATATATCATTATTTCTTGTATTCACAATCATAACTCATAAGTTATAATTGGTGCATCAGTGAATATAAATAAATGAGATTCCATCAATGATCTTCATCTTCTCACGATCCCCTTAACATTAGTATGACTACTTTTCTAGATATGCTCCGCTAGACCGTATCTGTGTTCATGGTCTTTTTGAAAACACACTAAAATAGCCAACATCACACTAAGTCTCAAGTATCTGATCGGAGTCTTTGAGGGTACAAAATCTTGAGCAATCATAAAAGCTCTGGGTTTCACACAACAATAAGTTGAGAACGGGCTTATGTTTACCCAATTTGTCGACATTAGCACAAATGGTATGAGACATGTGCTACAACATTTTCTCCTTTTCCCCAAGGAGCATATGTCTTTATCTCATAAAGAATGCTGTACATATGATATTTAGACACCATAAGTATCTAAATTTGAGTTTCTTGATCTACAAAATCATACTTAACTCACATCTGGCTCACAAAGTAGACTAGCTGAACATTTTTTACCCCAATGACCTTATGTCATTGTTTAAGCGACATTCTGATTTTAAGCGAATAGATCTCAAATTATCCTTATGATAATTTTACTTAAAATCATATCTCATCTCCTCACATCACTAAGATAAGGAGGCGGTTGCCTGTGTGAGAAGGCCAACCTCTTGTCTACCTGACATACTTATCAGAAAAAATAAAGAGTGCACATAACATTCAACAATAAAATATGTATGGATGTAAATCAACTTTATTGATAATCAAAGAACATCGGTTTTGTGAACGCGGAAAAATAAATAACAAAATAAAGTATCTCAGAGTCTACGCAAGCCTTGAGACCTAATGTGTCTCACAAATGCATCTCTAGAAAGGCTTTGTCAATGGATATGCTAACATATCTTTTGTTGACACATACTTCACATTCACCACCTTGCGTCTAACCATGTCTCTCGCATAGTTATACTTGATATCTATACGTTTGGTTTTACAATGAAACTTAGGGTCCTTGGTGGAGGATATTGCAGCCTCACTGTCGCAGTAGACTAATACTGGTTTGGTATTTTCAACGATATTCAACAAGTGTTCAAGAACTTTTTCAACTAAACAGCTTCTTGTGATTCTGATGCGAGAGCCACGTATTCGGCTTCCATCGTAGATAGTGATACACATGATTGTTTCTACTACTCCATGATATGGCGCCATCACTAAGTAAGAAAATATATCCTGAGGTAGATTTCCTCTCGTCTAGTCTCCTCCATGATCAACATCACTATATCCAAGCGCACAATCAGCAGTTCCCTTCAGATATCTCATGATCCTCTATACTGCTTGCCAATGTGCTGAACCTGGGTCGGTTTGATATCTATTTACCAAGCTAATTGCTCGACAGATATCATGTCTAGTGCATACCATAACATACATTAGACTTCCGACTGCGCTCATGTAAGGAACTTAGCTCATTCTTTCTGTCTCTTCAGGAGTCTTAGGATACATCTGACTTCCCAAGGCATGGCCTTTACTGATAGGAGTATTAACTAGGCTACTGTTTTGCATATTGAATCGTTCAAGAACTTTTCTAATGTAATTTTCTTGTGAGAGATATAATAAATTTTTTTGGATGATCTCTTGAGATCTTAAATCCAACAATATATGCAGCCCACCCATATCTTTCATCTCAAATTGAGATGATAACTATGACTTTATCTCGGTGATAAACTCCTTATCATTTCTAGCTATAACTATGTCATGTACATACAACGTTAAAATCACAAGCTTGTTCCTTAATCTTTTTGTATAAACACAACAGTCTTCATCCATCATGATAAAACCATTGGATACAACAACATTTTGAAAGCGTATATACCACTGCCTGGAAGATTGTTTGAGGCCATAAATAGACTTTAAAAGTCTACAAACCTTTCATGGGATTTTTCAATGAAATACTCAGGTTGTTCCATATAGATTTCTTCATCTAGTTCTCCATTGAGAAAGGCGGTCTTTACATCCATCTGATGTAATTCAAGATCCAAGCTTACAACAATATTAGAACCAGGCGAACAGAGGTAAATCGTATAATAGGCGAGAAAGTCTCTTCGTAGTCTATTCCTTTCTGCCGTGTATACTCTTTTGCCACCAGTCGAGCCTTATATTTCTCAAATGTTCCATCAGTCTTGAGCCTGATTTTGAGAACCCATTTGCTCTCAATGTTTTTGCGTCCTTCAGGGGAGGTCAACTAGTTCCAAAACTTTGTTGACTCTCGTAGACTCCAGTTCATCTTCCATTGCTTTTTTCCATTTATCCTTAGAAGGGCATGGGAGAGCATATTTTATATTTTTAGGCACATTTTCTTCTTGTAGGAACATCATAAATAGTTCGCACCTTCAACATCAAATCGTCGGCGGGGAATCTTTTTACGAGAACCACGTCTTATTTGTGATCATTGTTGTTCCCATTTGGATCAATGTTTCTCCCTGTCGGATCAAGAACATTCATCCCGCTCCCATTTGGAACAAGATTTGTGACCAACTCGCTCCCACTTGGAACAAGATCCATTTGTCACTTCCATTAAATGTGTAGGGATTACTTTCATTCGCATTTGATGATGAAGGAGGTCTTTGATGAGAAAATAATTTATCATCTGCTAAAATTCTCCCACTCGAATGAAGTGATCCTTGTACTTCTTGATCCAGTATCTCAAATAAGGTTAGGTCTTGACCTACCTCTCCATTCTTAGGGAACTCATCCTCTAAAAATGTAACATCTCGTTATTCAAACTCGGTTACACCCCCACTGTCTTGCTGGCCTATAAACTAATTAACAAATGTAATGTTAAAACAATTAACATTTCAAGCATGTTAAACAAATTAACAAATAAATTTAATGTTAAATAAATTAACATTTCAAGCATGTTAAACAAATTAACAAGCAAGCTTAATGTTAAACTAATTAACATTTCAAGCAATTGGGATAATAAAATTATTATAGTTTTCATAAAGGAATATAAATACTAAATTTATATTCTAAAAATTAAGTCCACATAATTAATTTTCAAAATTTGAAATTTATTAAAAAAAGTAAGAACTTAATTTTGAATTTTGTTTAGGCCATTAGTCCAAATAAAATTTGTAACGACCCGGCCGGTCGTTTCGAGAGTTATAGCCCCGTTCCCCCATTTCCTGCTTCTTTTGTGTTCTTCAGCTATATTATGATATACCAGGTTAGCTGATCCGGGTCCGGAGTGATTTCGGAGTGAATTGAGACACATAGTCTCTTAATTGAAAGCCTAAGTTGGAAAAGTTGATAGGATGTTGACTTATGTGTAAACGACCTCGGATTTGAATATGATGGTTCCATTAGCTCCGTTAGGTGATTTTGGACTTAGGAGCGCGTTCGGAATGTAATTTGGAGGTCTGTAGTAGAATTAAGCTTGAATTGGCGAAAGTTAGAATTTTGGCGATTTTGGCGGGTAGTGGAAATTTTGATACCGCGGACGGATTGGATTTCCGGAAGTTGGAGTAGGTATGTGGTGTCATTTTTGACTTGTGTGAAAAATTTGAGGTCAATTGGACGTGGTTTGGTAGGTTTCGGTGTCGTTTGTGGAACTCGAAA